CGATCTCACAGGAGGCGAGGATGAGCGCGCCCGTCCTCAGCGAGAAGCAGCAGCAGCGATCCACCACCAGCAGAGGTTCCCCGTTGCGGCCGCGGCAACTCATCCTCGACCCTGCGGAAGCGGCGAAGGGCGGCTTAGACGTCTTTTTTTAAGGCGTTTTGTTGCTCTGTTTCTTATGAGGCTTTGTTGTGGTTCCTTTCTTTCTCGTACTTTGTTGTTCTCCTTTATCTCTTGATACCTGGGGCTGTGGGTTTGTGGTTTCCTTTTAAGAGAGAGGGGTTTCGATTGGGATACGAAAACGTACACACACACACACACACACACACACACACACACACACACACACACACACACACACACACACACACACACACACACACATATTATATATTATATATATATATATATATATATATATATATATATATATATATATATATATATATATATATTATATATATATAATAGCAATGATTATGATGACAACAGTAATGATAAAGTGTGATGTGATGACAATAACAATAATAATAACATTAGTAATAATAACAATGGTATAATATAATATAATAATAATAATAATAATAATAATAATAATAATAATAATAATAATAATAATAATGAAAATTGTATGATATGAAATAATGATGATAAAAATAGTCATGTCAATAATGATAATAACAATAATGGCAATGAGTAATAATATAATGATAATAATAAATAATAAGAATAAGGATGGTAATTATAATAATAATAATTCATCATTATTATTATTATCATATATATTATTATTTTTTATTATTATCATCATCATAAAAACAATAATAACAATAATAACAACAGGACCATCAATAACAGAAACAACAATGATGATAATAATCGTGATTATAATAATTATCATCATAATAATAACATTAATGATGGTAATAATGATAATAATAATGACAATAATAATGATGATAATAATATCTATAATGATAATAATGCTTATGATAATGATAATGAATAAATAAATAATTACAATAAGAATACTAATACTGAATAATAATAGTAATGATAATAATGATAATAATGATAATGATAATATTAATAATGGTGATGTTCATCGTCATCATAATAATAATCATAATAATGACAAAAACATAATAATGATAACAATAAGAAGAGTAGTAACAACAGCAGCAGCAACAACAACAAAAACAACAATGATGATAATAGTTATGATAATAATTAATAATAATGATATCAATAATAGTAATAATGATAATAACAACAATAATTGCAATGCTAATGATAACAATGACAATGATAATGATAATAAGAGGAAGAAGGGGAAGAAAAAGAATGATAATGTTCACAATGCTAATAATAATAATAATAATAGTAATAACAGTAATTACTGACGATAATAATGATGATGATGATAGCAATAGTAATAATGATAATAATGATAATAGTACTGATTTTTAGTAGTAGTAATATTATCATAACAAAAAAATAACGATACCCATAGCAATGATAAAGACAACAGCAACAACAAAACAGCAATAACAATAGATAAAATAATGATAATAATGATAATAATAATAATAATAATAATAATAATAATAATAACAATAACAACTACAACAACAACAATAACGATGATGAAAATAATGATAATAATAATAATAATAACAATAACAACTACAACAACAACAATGACAATAATAATAATAATAATAATAATAATAAATAATAATAATAATAAATAATAATAAATAATAATAATAGCAATAATAAAAATAACTACAACAACAACAATATGATGATGATAGTAATAATAAATAATAATAATAATAATAATAATAATAATAATAATAATAATAATAACACTGATAATGATAATGCATGTGATATATGATGATGAATAAAGGATAAATGACCTTCAATAACTGATGAATGATAATTATTATTATTGTCATAATTATCATTATGACAATAATAATAATAAGATCAATAGTAACACTAGTAGTAAGACATCGGCAGTAGTGTTGTTTTGGTAACATTTCAGTATTATCAACAAAGATAACAACTATATATATATATATATATATATATATATATCTTGATCTTTTTATTATCGTTATTCTCAGTCGAACTGCAAGATTAATAAATTAGATATAAGTAGACAATAAAAAATCAGTCTGGTGCGCCTGTCAAGTTGCACTTGTCACCACGCGTACACATTAATGTTCCCGAGCCTAATAAATTGCGTGAGAAAATTACTGAATAACACGTTTATCCCTTAATAGGCAATGACAGCTGGTATCTGATTGAAAATTTCAAAAAAAATAGTCAGTATGTTCTTGACATTTTCATTTGTGATTAGGACTATTTTCGCAATTTTCGATAACTGAGATGCACCCCAGACATGTTCTTCTGCTGAACTATAGCTGACACTGACACCTCACTAATTGCCATACACTCATTGGCAGAGCAGAATTAGGGTGGAGTCTGCTTC